AGGGGAAGGACCGGGGCGGTGCTGGGCGGGTGGAGGGGGTGAAAAAGGGGGGGGGGGGGGCTGATTATTAAAATCAATGAAATATTTTGATTTTTGTTTTGTTTTTTCGGTGGTGGGTGAGAGAGGGCGTCTGGCTGTCGGCGGCCTCGGCGCGGGGCTCACACGCTCATTGTCATGCTGGGCGAGTACTATAGAGAGAGCGGAGACACCGCGGCGTTAGACCCTGGGGAGGGGGTCCCGGGGTGAGAGGAGGGGTCCCGGTGGGGGTGGGTCTCTCCAGAGCCGCCCTCCTTCACGCCTCGCTCGGCCAAAGCGACCCCCCCGCTGCCGCTGCCGCCGCCGCCGCCGCCGCCGCCGCCGCCGCCGCCGCCGCCGCCGGTGACACAATTTCGGGGGGTCGCCACTGGGGTTTGATCGCTGAACCCCCCCGACCCCGGCTGCTGCTGCCGCCGCGCCCCCCCCGGGCCCCCCGCCCTCGCCGCCTGCCCCCCCGGGGGTCCGCGGGGGTCCCCGCCGGGTCCCTTACGCTGTCGCTTTGGAAGGGATTTAGGAAATTGCTGCTCAGCTCGGCGTCGTCGCGAGGGGTCCCGGGGGGGTTGCTCAGGGCCCCCAAATTACTGGGGGAGCTCTGGAGGAAAGGGAGGAGAGAGTTAATGTGGGGGGGGTGGGGGTTATTGGGGGGTTCTGGTGGGTTGGGGGCAATAAATGGGGTCTCTGTAAATGGTGGGCAGCAATAAATGGGGTCCAAATAAATGGGGTGGTCCCATCACACGGTGGGGGGCAATAAACGGGGTCCCAGCACATGTTGGGGGGCAATAAATGGGGTTCTTGTAAATGGTGGGGGGCAATAAATGGGGTTCTTGTAAATGGTGGGGGGCAATAAATGGGGTCCCAGCACATGGCTGGGGGTAATAAATGGGGTCCAAATAAATGGGGTGGTCCCATCACACGGTGGGGGGCAATAAACGGGGTCCCAGCACATGGTGGGGGGCAATAAACGGGGTCCCTGTAAATGGGGTGGTCCCAGCACATGGGGGTATCCCAATAAATGGGGTCCCAGGGTCCCCAGCTCACCTTTGGCAGCCCATCCATGTCCCCGGAGCCTGCCAGGGTGACAGTGGGGTGTTAGTGACCCCCCCCAATCCACGTGTCCTTCCCAAACCACGTATCCCTTATTCCATCCATGCCCCCAAATCCCCGTGTGCGCCCCCAAATCCGTGCTCATCCCCTGAACCCATTCCCCCCTCCCTGCCGTGTGCCCCTCCCGCTGCACGAGCCCATCCAGCCCCAGATGGAGCTCATATCCCCCAGGATTTGGGATTTTGGGGGTGCTGGAGGGGACAAAGGACCCCTCCTGTCCCCAGGGGGTGTCACCCACCTAAGGATCCGTTCATGTGGTGCGGCTCCATCGCGCTCATCCCGCCCATGGGCCCCTCAGGTCCGGGCCCCATCGGGAACTGCAGGGGAAAGGGGGGTGAGGAAGGGGTTAAGGAATGTTGGGGGGATCCCCCCTGGCCCCAGTCCCTGCTCCCCACCCCGGTGCTCACGTTGGGCCGGTTCCCCGCGGGTCCGATGGGGTTCATCATGGTGTACATGTTCTCGCTGGAGTTGGTGGAGTCTGGGGGGGGACACCACACGTGGGGGGTGAGGTGGTCCCCCCAAATCCCACTGACTGACACCCACAAACCCCAGTGACACCCACAAATCCCACTGACACTCACAAACCCCACTGACAGCCCCAAATCCCATTCACACCCTCCAAATCCCACTGACAGCCCCCCAAATCCCACTGACACACACAAACCCCACTCACAACACACCAAATCCCACCCACACACCCCCAAATCCCACTCACAC